CTTAAAACAGTGCCTGGCATATAGTGAGCATCCAGTGATTACTAACTGCCATGATCAGAACATATACCTTCTTGGGTCAGTGGAAAGAGCATCAGCTTTGGGGTCCTCTCCTAGGTGTGTCACTCAGCTGCATCACTATGTGGTCGGTAACCTGGACAGTTCACAGAACTAAACTGAAGTCACCCTCTGCATCTATGAAATGGGTATAATTATACACATTGAACGTGTAATTGTGGGGGCTAAAGGACATCGTGGATGGGAATGGCACAGTGCAGGCAGAGTAGGGGTCAGTGAAGAATGACTATCGCCACAAGAGAGAATCCTGGCTCGGATTCGGGACCCAGATTCGCTAGATGTCAGGCAGCTGATTCCTCTGCTACTGAGCCTCTGCATGTAAAGGTGGCATACCAATGCCCAGTAGAGACCAGCGCTTGTGTGTGCCAAACGTCCGCTTCATCATAAGAACTCCTTGGGGTTGTTATCAGTTACTTCTTGGGTGAGCAAACCACCGCCTGAGGGCCAGCTCCTGCCAGAGCACATGTTGTTGTGTGGCCTGAAAGCCATTAGCTTAGGTTTTTAAGTGGTGGGGGAGGGGAGGGAGAAAAAAAATATTTTGTGACTCATAAAAATTATATAAAATTCAAATTTCAGTGTCCAATAACAACATTTCGTTTGAGCACCATCATGGTCATTGTTCCTGTTGTCTCTGGTGTTCTCCCACCACAAGGGCAGATGTGAAACGTTTTGGCGGAGATCACAGGCCTGCGAAGCCTAAAATAGTTATGACCTGGCTCTTTACAAAAAATCGTTCGCTGATCCCTGATCTATTCTAACCTTCTCTTTTATGTGAAGGTTAAGGGGTAGAGAAATGAGAGATGTTTCCATTTGTTTACTTAAATATCCAGCGGTTAGAGTCTAGTTTCTTGACACTGGCCAACACAGCCAGACATTGACACTTTCTTATAAAGAAAAGTACTTGGGAAAGTATATAGAAAAGAGGATAGTTATTGTATTTCTCAAATACAACACAAATAGTTATTGTATTTGTCAGACATATTCAAATAACCTGAATATGTAATTTAAAAATATCCTAAATTATTTGCATTTCTCAGTATCCCTTTTGTGTCTGTAGTGACCCCTTTATAAACTATACAACTATATTATTTCTCCATTATCGCATAGGAAACTCTGTTATAGTCAGAGACTTTCTGGAATTTTAAGGTATTAACTAACGAGCAATCCCACACTGGTTTGTTATTTGGGTGCTGTCTCTGCTATTCGTCACTTGTTTCATTCCCCCATGGCTTCATTTTTGAAAGCAGCAAACAGCCCGACTGTTCCCAGCTCACCTCTTGCTTCTCCTGGGCCTTTCTCCACCCCCTTGCCCCTTACTGCTACCCACCCTCCCCCAACCCCATCCGCCAAGGTGTCAGTGAACCTGAGCAACAGTTGCAGATACTTTTGTTTTTTCTTGCTGCTGGACACATTGATACCTTCAAGATCAAAGGAAATAAATGTTTTTCATTTATGGATTTCTATAAACGAGACACAGAAATCCATCTGAGTTACAGAAGTACTTCAGAAGGAATAAGACTGTGCTCTGAGCAAGTCATGTGTGTCCTAGACAGGCAGGTGAGGGATTGGCTGCAGGTCAGGGTTTAATTTGCAGAGTTTACATATTCTATAGCCTGAAGAAAACTAGGGACCAAAAGACAGAGACATCTGCTATCTCTTTAATCTAATCAACACCTGAGGGAATGTGTCTGACAAGTTATCTGTCTGTAGCTATCAAAAATCCAAATGTAAAAATCTAGCTATCTAATCAAACAACCTATTAAAATACTTTTAAAATGAAGCCATTAAAACTATTCTTATCTTTCAAGTACATTAAATCATTTTTGTTTTTATGGAGCTTCAAAAAAATCTAAATTAACCAGAAATTTTGGTACAGGTCATACCTAACCAGTGACTTAATGGTTGGGGAACGAGTCATTTTCAAGTCTTAGATGTTATTACCTAGAAAAGGTAGATCAGTGATGTCCTGGAGGGGCAAGTATTGGCTCAAGTCAAATAGTAAATTTTCAGCAGTTTTGCAAGCTGGTTGTTAAATGGTGGCTTGACATGGTTCGAGGTAGGAGTATTTATATCAGGGAAATAGGCAGACTCTGGAAATCAGTACTACCCCTTGTCTATGTGGTTTGTCAGCACACCATTGAGACCCTTTAAATCAGCCATGCTCCTCAGAGTTCTCCTCAGGGAGATGAAACTGTTCTAAAACTGACTTATGATGATGGTTCTATTCTCTTTAAAATCACTAAAAATTGTTGAGTTGGCCCTAACCGGTTTGGCTCAGTGGATAGAGCATTGATTGCCAAAACCGGTTTGGCTCAGTGGATAGAGCGTCGGCCTGCGGACTAAAAGGTCCCAGGTTCTATTCCAGCCAAGGGCATGTACCTTGGTTGCGGGCACATTCCCAGTGGGAGGTGTGCAGAAGGCAGCTGATCGATGCTTCTCTCTCATCAATGTTTCTAAATCTCTATCCCTCTCCCTTCCTCTCTGTAAAAAATCAATAAAATATATTTTTAAAAAATATAAATAAATAAATAAATAAATAATAAATAAAAAATTTTGAGTTGTCTACACTTGAAATGAGTGAGTTTTATAATCTCTAAAATATGCCTCAATAAAATTGTTCAACAAATTGCTCCCAATCAACAAACAAAATGTCAGCATGTGTAGATGGCGACAAGATCCAGTTACATACCCAATAAATGAGAAATAAAGCCACATTTGCTCAGCACTTCTGATGGGTTGATATTTTACACAGTGATTCCCAACCTTGTCTCACTCTGGAATCACTTGGAAAGTTTAATAAGAAAAAGTTAACTCCCAATATGTTGATGTCTTTTGTTTGGTCTGTGGTCTGAGCAGAAATTTTAAAAACTTCTTGGGTGATTCCAGTGTGAGGCCAAGGTTGAGAACCACAACTATAGAGCAATTGCCCCAGATAATTGTTGCTTGCCTGTTACAGAAACCACCCTCAAATGCTTAATAAATTCCCAGGCGTTCTGAAATAGAGAAGTCTGGACGTAAATGCCTATTTGGGGGTTGTTTCTAGGTTGTATTGAACGTGTACTCTTTGCACATGGAGGGAAGATACAGATCTGTTTCCTTGTGGGTTTCCTATGTAGTTGCCATGGGCATTATGGTGGGGAAAAGGGACATCAGCTAGCTCACCTTGTCATTTAAGTGAGTGCCAATGAACTCAAACACAGAGTCTAAGCTCAGGGATTATTGAATTAAAGGACCAGAGTTGAATATCTCCTTTGGGTCTCTTCTCTTTGGGGGCTTCCTACTGATTGTGGGCTGGGAATATAGATAAGGAAGCATGCACTAAAGAATTATCCTATATAATAAAAGCCCGATACGCAAATTGACTGAATGACAGACTGACCAGTGGAATGACCGGTTGCCATGACATGCACTGACCACCAGGGGGCAGACACTCAATGCAGGAGCTGCCCCCAGCCCTCAGGCCCCAGGCCAGCCAGGGCAGGTGCTAGCTGGAGCCCCCTGATCGCCCCGCTGGTTGCCCTACAGATCGGCCCTGATCGCCAGCCAAGCCTAGGGACCCTACCCGTGCACGAATTTCATGCACTGGGCCTCTAGTAGTTTAATAATTTAATAAGGCTACAAGTGAGAGCCCAGGCATCCACCTTCAGTGTCTGCACTTATAACACCCATTTTGTATGCTCAGGGGCACTTTACCTTTTCTCTTTGAGGAAACCTAGAAGGCTAGTGATGTCTTGGAACTCTGAATTCCCAAGGACAGGAGTTTATTTTATAGAAAACTTTAGCTAGTATATCTGATTTCCCTTCTGAAGTTAGAGTTCAATTCTGAGGCCTCAAATTTAAAATCTACAGACAGGACCTACTGAGGTCTTTTACAACCGCGCAGCACCAAAGACACAATCTCTGCTTTCTTCATGCAGACAGATTTGACCCCTGCTTCAATGTGTCCTGTTAAGAACATTGACTTTGGAAAGCTGGAATCCCAGCTTCGCCATTTAATTGACGTGTGATAGAGGCAAGTTATTCAACCCTTCGGTGCTCATTTTCTCCCTTTGTAAGATGGAGATGATAACAGTTCCTATGTCATTGGCTTGCTGTGAAGATTTGAGCTGTTTGTTCAGACATAAGGTGCAGGTCGCGCCTCTCATGAAGCACAGGTGTGGAAACCAGCCTCACCAGGCTCTTCCCGGTACTTTAGGGTAAAGGTGCAGTGTCTCTAGGAAATCCCCTATTCCTCTCTGGGTCATGTTTGTTTCTCTAATTAAATATCCTGATGAGCTGTCTCATCTGGTCCCTTCTTAAAGACAGGACTATGACGGCTCCACCCATTGGAACTCACTACCTGCCTGAGGCAGAAATTGTGTCCTCTTTCTGAGTTGCTAGTATTTAAAAGGCTCACAGTTGCCCCTGCAGATAAGCCTACAGACAAGAGCTCACAAATGCAGTGTCAGGAGAAAGAAAGGCATGCGGACATCGCTGTAGACACTTCCTCCTTTCTCTTGAAAAAGTCCCTCTCCTGTACAGTAGGAGTGTAGGCTTTCTGTTTATCTTACCCGCAACAGCTTAGAGCTCAACAATTTTAACAGCACATTTATTTATAAACCAGATCAACCGCAAGGAAACCAAGCAACATCAACTCACACATCCCAGCGCTATCCCTACTCTCCAAGAATGCCCAGCATTTAACTTTTGTCTCATTTTCCGCAGCTACCTGCTTTCACATCAGGGAAAAATAATATGTGCTTTGACAATGCCATTGGCCCCCAGCAGAAAGACACCTAACAGACATATGAGTTAAACGCGGAGGGGATAGAAGAGGGGGTGGCAGAGTGCTAGAGATCACCCTTCATCCAAGGGAGCGTTAGGGTGGGAGCGGAGAGTCAATGTTCACCCACGACGCGCTTTGAAAAGCGGATCTGCTCTCTTACCCCAAGTCCTGCAGCAGCTCAGCTTCTCCATCGGACGTGCTCCACAGATCTGCAGGATCCTGGGCGCTCATCTTGCCTTCTAGAGACTCCGCTCTGCCCATTCACGCTCCTCACGTCTGGTCTGCGCAGCCCCTGGCAGGTGCTATGAGGGAAGAGGCAGAGAAATGAGCTCTGCTGCTCCTCACACTCCTCCTCCTTAAGAGAACCAGCTGTGAGTCTCCACTGGCAAGGAAGTGAAACTTGCTTACTCCTCCCACCGACACTCGCCACCCTGGCCCCCAGGCACTGGCGGGAGTGTTCTATCAGTCAGGAAGCATGCAAACGGAGCTCCCACCTCCGAGGACACCCACACTGATCACGCAACCTGCAGTGTCTGTCCAAGGAAATAAACATGACAGCACTCCAACCGGGACGGCACCATTAATTCAAACTCCTCTCCTGAGGCCGGACCGCAGCGTCTCCCCAGTGCGTCGGCCTCTGCTTTGTAGAGGGCGGGGCATGCACTCATTCACCCCACCTTCGGCCTCACACATGAACACACAGAACACGGAGGAAGCTTCTATTTCAGGAACATCATTAGCGTGGGTAAACAAATCAGAGTCAAGTCACTAACTTCGATCCTGAAGTCTGGTTTCTCGCACTTTCTCAGTATTTCTGCTTCAGTTATCCAAGTTTCCAACATACGCTTGACTTGCAGGTAGGCATGACTCAGAGACAATTACTGTTTCCTCCGTGGAAGAAAGATAAGGGGAGAAGAAGGAACGTAGGAAAAGTAGGGTGGGGGCAGCCTGCTGCCAACTACTGGGGCGTGTGAGAACTTCCCCGCCACTTCCTTCACAGGGCAGGCGTACAGCTGGGGTTGCTTTTGTTGTTGCTTGGTGTCCAGACTCATGGGTAGAGAATACCATCTGCCTGGGAGTCCTTAAGGGAGACTGCAGTAACTCTGAATCCTGGAGAGCTGGACAAAGTGCAGTGATGCATGGATAAGAACATGTGTGCTACCTGCCTTCTCTGTGTACCTGCCTGCAGGAGAGGGTGTGCTTCTGGTCTCATTCTCTCTCTCTCTCTCTCTCTCTCTCTCTCTCTCTGTCTGTCTAGTCACGCCCTGACTCATTCAGGGTTCACCAGAGGGCTCTATAACTTGCTTTTCCCAGCGGCCGTCCCCGTAGGAGGAACAGGACCATTGGCAGCTTATCGGAATGCAGAATTTCGGGTTCATCCCAGCCCTTCTGAACCAGCATTTGCATTGGAACCAGATCCCCAAAGTGACTCCCTGCACACTGACGTGTGAGGAGACGACTCTCTAGGATACCAAGACCGCAGAGCGTTCTAAAGGAGAGGCTGATTGGGGCCTGCTAGCATTCTACCTCTCCTTAATGTCCTTCCCTGTGTGACAGGATTCCAGGGCGGGAGGAATAGGGAAACTGAGGCAGGAAAGTTACAATCATGTCAGGCAGTGTGGGCAATTTGCAGCCAGCTTGTAACCAACCAGTCATTATCTTCCCAGCCAGGGACACTTGAGAGCAAATGGTTAAAAACTTCCCCAAGGAGAGAATGCAGAGAGGGGCGGGGAAAGGAGAAAGGAAAAAAAGGACAGTGTCAGTCCCTAAGCAGAGAAGCCAGCAGTCTCAAGGCTTGGCAAGACAAAGTTGCCAGTTGCTTCCCAAGAATTCTGGGGAGGCCACAGCAAAGTGAAAAAAGGGACCTTGAGAATTAATCTGCACTAAAATACTCAGCAGAGGAATTTTGAAACCGATAGCCAAGAGGGTATAGAACGCCTCAGACCCCACCCAACTCTCTCTTCAGGTGGCTGAGAGCCTGCCTGTGCTTCATAAGCCAGATGGATAGGTTTGCTGGCTTTGCTTTTCAATAAGGTACATGCTTTAATAAATTGGCTTTTCACAAAGCAGTCAAGGTCCCTCATATAAATTCACTTATATGAGAAGACAAGGATGGAGGTTAGGGACAGCCCTCTCCCACGGACGCGGGGTGCTGTCTGGTAACACCTCTGCTGTTGCTGAGAGGTGCCTCTAAAAGCTGTTATTTCTGGGTGTCTGAGATTTGTGAGACCCTGGATTCCTCTGATTGCCAGAAATTCCTGAGTGTCTGGAGACAGCCTGGGGGAGATGAGGCTCTGATAACACGTGCTGATTGTATATGCGCATTTAAAATTCTTTCAGCTACAGTTTGTTCGGAGAGAAGTGCAGGATCCACGTGTAACAGCCGCCAGTCCTGGCCAGGGAGGTGCAGAACGTGCCTGCGGCAGAGACAGGAGACCAGCGGGCAGCAGATTTCCTGTTCTCCTTCTATAGCCCTTTGTTCAGTGTTTTAGTATCTATTTTGTTCCCGTTTTAGCAAATTCTCTTTTTTCTTTTTTTAGCCTTTTTTTCTTTTCTTTTCAGAAAAGTAGCAGTTTACTAAGACAAGCCTCTTCCTTTCTTCAATCTTCCGGCCACTCCCCCTTTCTCATTTTGCTGTCCCATCTCTTGTCCTCCCCTGTGATGGCATTGTTTCATTGTGTCCCTTATTTCATTTTCCCAGGATCCCTCTCTTCCCCATCCCCCATCAACCCCCTGCTCCACGAAGTACACGTTCAGCATTGTGGTGGAACCAGTTGCTGCACCATCACGAGGTGGTTTCAACAGAATTACTGGACGTTCATAAAACCGTCTGGTATTATATTTTACATTAGACTGTTGCTTCTAAACAAGTGCAAGTATATTTTAAAAAACCACATAATTCACGTCTTATTCATTTTGATAATCTCTTCAGTGGTGCCGGTTCATAGTGCCTAATTCTTTCCATGCCGATATTGGACACGGAAACAGACATGAACAATCTACCTTGTTTTGACAATTTTGGAAAATCTTATTCTTTGTTGGAAAATATCTTACTTATCAAAAATATTAGGCCTTTTTTGGAATGGCAATCACACTCAAATCATCAATTTTCTCATAAAGAGAATTTGGGGAGAGCTATTTCATCCCGATTTGAATTTCTTTATTGGAAGAATGAGCTTCTAACACTCGAGACTCCTCTAAAGAGAACTTTTTGACAGAAACAACTTCATGTAGTGGAAGATCCTTTTCTTCCTTTTTTAAAAAAATGTATTTATTTATTTATTTTTAATTGTTTAAAGTATTACAAGTCTCCTTTTTTCCCCCCATTAACCCCACCCCCCCAGCCACTCCCACCCCCGGGGGTCAAGCCCCCACTGTCCCAGTGTCTGTATCCATTGGTTATGCTAATATGCATGCATACAGGTCCTTTAGTTGATCTCTAACTTTCCCCCACCCCTGCCTTCTCTATGAGGTTGGACGGTCTGTTCAGTGCTACCTTGTCTCTGGAGCTATTTTCATTCATCAGTTTATGTTGCTCATTATATCCCACATATGAGTGAGATCATGTGATATTTATCTTTCTCCGACTGGCTTATTTTGCTTAGCATACTGCTGGTAGACCCGTTTCGATCTTTTTCTAATTTATTTATTTCTACAGAAAACTTACATATCACAATGTCTAATTTTCACCTGGTCACCCGGCAATGGCAGTTCTCCACAGTGGGAATGGTTCTATGAGTGCCCTTGTTACCTGTTTACCGTTCACTAAGCACTCTTTCTTCTCCATCATCTATGATGGTGGAAAATAACAGATACATTCTTGAAAGGGAAACCATGGCTTGGAATTATCATGGACTGAGGTTACCATAGCTTGGGGTTGAGGGACCCTTACTGTTTCTCACTGTCTGGTTCTTCCCACCCATGAAAAAGAAGAAATTTCAAGTTCAATTGGAACAGAAGCATAGCAGACAAAGAAAGAACTGACCATTGTTTTTTAGCTGCAGGTCATCTCTCCAAAAGGAGGGCTTCTGTCTCTCCTCCTAATTCTGTGGAAAGCTCAGGGATGCCATATTGCTTTTAAAAATATTGGAGATTTTTGTTTTGTTTTCGTTAAGCCTCACATGAGAATATTTTTTCCTTTGATTTCTAGAGAGAGTGGAAGGGAAGGAGGGGGAGAGAGAGAGAAACATCGATGTGAGAGAGACACACTGATTGGTTGCCTCCTGCATGTGCCCTGAATGGGGACTGGGATTGAACCTGCAACCCAGGTACGTGCCCTTGACCAGGAATTGAACCGGTGACCCTTTGGTGTGCAGGCGAACACTCTAACCACTGAGCAACACCAGCCAGGGCAAAAATAATGGCGTTTTACTTCAAGCCACAACCTCCGTGTTCTCTGCTCCAGTTATGTGATCACTTAATACAGTATCACAGGCTAAGGCAATTGGCTTTTAAAAAATTAATTGGGACCCCATTTTATTTTCTTCACCTGTCCATACAAGTAGTCCTAGCTTCTGTGTTGACTAAGGGTGTCTGGGTATGGCTATAACTCATCAAGTTCACTCTAACCCCTGCTTCTTCCGGGAGAGTGGGAAACTGGAAACAGAGAAATAGAGTTTCCACAGAAAGAGAAAGAAAAGATCTAAACACTTTGTATTTTACCTTTATAATACATTCTTTACAATAAAAAACAAAACAGTTTCCTGGATGATTTAAAATTCTGAAAAATTAAGCCCAGTAGAGCCATGGTATGAGCTCCCAGGTGCTCAGGAAATATTTTATAAAGGTATATTTTGGTCACTGAGAAATGACAATGACAGGCAAGTGGATATCTCAACTAGGCAGATGACTATGCAAGTGGTGGCGAGAAGGCAGCTCAGCTCTTCCCCTCTGAGCCTGCGGGTCGAGACTGGTCACACACTTCACCCTCTGCTGAACGCTGCCACCCCACCCTGGCTTCTCTTCTCACCATGCCTCCTGGGAATCATTCTACTTGCGTCGGTCAGTTTTTCTTCCACCGACCCATTTAGGCCATGTGGTATACAGACCTGACTTTGAACTCTGACTTGTGTTTTGGTTTCCACTCCCTTCTCGGCTGCTCCCAGACACCTCACTATATATTGGGCCTGCACCAGGCCATCATGGTCCATGCTCTGTCTATGTGGGTGTCATTGCTCCTTCCTGATCTCCAAAGTTCCTTGGGGTAGCTACTCAAGCTACAGTCCTCATCTCTATCTCTACAGAGATATCTCCAGATCTCTGTGTCTACATGACTCACTCTTTTTTGAGAATGTTCGGTGGGGCGGGGAAGCTGTTCCAGCGTTGCACTGGTTGGAGGTGACCCATTTCTCCAAGTTGGTGAGCTATGGCCATATCCAGACAGCCTGAGCATAGCTTCCTCCATGGAGCTGGATTAAGCTAGGTTTGAGAATTCTCTCATATTCTATCCAGAACCATTCTTCAGGCCTCATTGGTAAGTAATATTGATCATATCACACTCCTTCCTTACTTAGACATTTTTCTCTCATTGATAAATTCAGGCAAAGGCAAACAGATTTTTACTGGATTCCTCAGCCCTTCAGTCATATCTGTGTCTGTCTAACTCCCAACCCCAGACAGGGTCTCCAAAATCTCATGCCAAACAAGGAACG